GTGGTCAGGAGCGTTCACATCCCCACAAAACTCAGAGGCAGATTTCAAAACAGGCATCACTGGAATAATATTCAATATTCAACATCTAAATTCTTTTATTTATTTTTTTTAAAATAACATTTAAACCCGATGAACTGATGGCAATCCTAGAACAAATATTCTGGTGACATTTTTCCTTGCATGTGTTTTCTTTTGTTGTTGTTGTTGTAATTATTTCTGTATTTCTAGATTTGGAGAACATTGGAGCTTTTGCGTTAGTTCAGACAGACACGTAGTCAGGGAGTCACAAGGCCCTTTTCTGTCCAATCTTTACGACTGAAGTCCAGCCCACCTACTGAGATGCTCTATAATCGAGGCAGCGGTCGTTTATTCATTCATTCATTCATTCATTCTGCTCCACCGGCCTCTACACATCCTCAAATCATCATCGCTGTTCATCTTGTCTTCAGAGATCTCTCATGGAGGTCAAAAACTCACTTCGTACCTTCTGACTGTGATATTGCCCGGGCGGGTCGATCCGTCTTTAAAGTAGGATCGTAGCATTCAAACCAAAGCGATTCAGTCTTGCAGAAATTGACATTCACGTGTCCTAAATCTCGTGTGACGACCAGAGCGCCATTGCTGGGAGAAAAAAAAATCCCTTTCATCCTCTTCAGCCAATTTTAAAATCCAGTACGCATTCCTAGCAGTCAAATCCAACCTCCAAGCGCTGTTGTCATCATGAACTTTTGATTTGTTTCGGCTACTTCAGTTCATAACTTCCACATCACAAAACTTAGGATGCTCCAGCTCCTCCGGAAATATCTGAGATGTAACCATCTAAATCCTGCTCCAGCTCCGAAAGTCCTCACATCCAGCATCCACTCGTCTCCTCACGGCCTCCATCAATTCAAACCTGGACCCAGGTTTCCTCTGTGCCCGTTACCTGCCCTACAGCTTCTGGGTTCAAGCCCGCTGGCTCCACCTACCAGAGTGACGTCATAGTGAGCCACAGGTGCAGCTTTGGCACCCCGTGCTGGTGTGGCCCTCACCTCTGTATCCACGTGCTGACAGGTAATTATATCAGTCTAATTAAATTCTGTTAATTTCATCTGGCTAAGTTTTGATGGTTCTGTTGGTTCTTCACAAGAGTCTATAAAATCCAACAATGACTGTGTTTAAGGTAGCTGTCAAAGCTTATGGACAAAACTAAAATTGGTGTGGCACAGTAAAGTTAATCAGTTACTTATCAGCTCCTTCTGCAGGCTTATTGCACCAACAGTCCCACCCAGGGCTCCAGAATGCAACCAGATTTTTTGAGAGCACGCAACTTCAAGTGGTTTCATTATGCAAGTAAATCATTTAGCTGTGTTGCTGTTGCTCTAACTGGCATGGGCAGCTACTGCATTAGTTATATTGGCGAAAAGTATTTTTTTATAACTTCAGTGAGTCTATCCCAGCCTGATGCATAAAACAAGCTGTTAAGGCAGTTGATGAAGAAAGACAGATCCCTTGGTTAGCTTGGACAATCCTGACATTAGAATGCATTATTTCACTCTTTTCAAAGGCATTTCAGTCACACACCTGTCAGAGCACACATGCAGCCACCAAGCAGGAGCTAGCCTTAGTGAGGCATTCAGGGAACATTGGTAAATTTAATGTCCACTGAGAAGCAAATTTTCAGCAAGTAAATTGCTCCACCTGTGACACTGTGGAAGTGCTGCCAGTGAAGACGGTAGTCTGGAGTCCTGCTCTGTGCCATCATTCTTCGCCAACTGCAGATTTTGCCTCATGCTAACTAGAATAGCAGGTACAGGTGGCACAGTGGTGTAATTGCTAGCACTGTCGCCTCACAGCTCGAAGGTCCTTGAGCCTTTCTGTGTGGAGCTTAGGGTCTTTCTGTGTGGAGTTTAGGGTCTTTCTGTGTGGAGTTTAGGGTCTTTCTATGTGGCGTTTGCATGTTCTCCCCGTGCCTGTGTGGGTTTTACAAAGCGCTTTGGGTTCCTCTAACAGTCCAGTCCAATGCCTAGGTTAACTGGTGATTCTAAATTGTCCGTAGGTGTGAACGTGAGTGCACCTTGTTGTCTGTGTCTATGTTGGCCCTGTAGTGGACTGGTTACCTCTCCAGGTGAATCTTCCCTTTATCCAGTTTAGATGGATTCCAACCCCCCTGCAACACTACAGAGCTTAAAGCAATGTCTAGAAAATGGATGGATGGTACAGGTACTCAGTTTAGGAAAGTGGACTTCATAGATGCTTCTTTTAAGGCTCTGCACACTCCCAGTGGCATCCGTCTGGAGTTTAACGAAAACATAAACCACATTTTTCTGACATACTAGAATCATTGGTCACCTCAAGGTTCTTATCAGACACTGGTGCCTTAGCAGGTTTTGGGGGTCTTCCTTAGTAACGTTTTTGCAGATGGCTTATGTCCTTGCCTACTAGCTTCCAGCCTGCCGTTATGTTAGAATCTATTCCCTGCAGTAGGATAAATGGTAGAGTAAACATCATGGTGTTTTGCGACAACAAACCATTAGTCAACATTATTAAGCGTGCTCCTCAGTCATAGCTGTGCTTCCTTTCTCCCAGCAGCCTGTCTTACCAACATTTGACCAAACCAAGTGAGTGCAAATATAATCTGGTTAAATACACTTTTACAAGTTTCTCAAGTCTATAAACTTAATTTCTGAAGTCCAGGTTTATTTAAGTCATTTAGACCCTGCAGTTTCTAGCTTTCTTGAGAACGGATATTATTACCTCCTCTTCAGTGGACCAAAGAAGTTCATCCAGAAGGCAATGCTAAACATCTACTGTTACACTTTGTTGGTGCAACGTCAGTTCTTGCTTAAGGTCCAGGTGCTTAGTCTATATGTAGATACCCTCTTAGAACAGTCCTTTTGGTAACTTAGGATGTTTCTTAGTTATGGGAAGTTAATTTCACTGAGAAATTCTATTCCTTGCATGACCTCACTATATCTGTCTTCTCTTTAGATAAGCAGAAGCAATCGATTGACCTTGGGCTTTCAAAGTTGATTAATGTTATAAAGGTGCTCCAATCTTCATTGCCAGTGCTCCTATGCTTTCTGTTTCTTGTCTTCCATGATTCGGTGTCTGGAATGGTTAACCAATGCAAGCGGAGATGAGCCTCTTGTTCAACATGGACTCTGAGAAGGCCCTGTCCAGGCCTTGGTCTGCTTGCCTCCACATCCCAAGCCATTGTCTTTCCCCTAAGCTATACAGCCTAGTCCTGAATGAATGAATGAATGAATGAATGAATGAATGAATGAATGAATGAATGAATGAATGAATGAATGAATGAAATATTTATTTTGAACAGAAATACAATTAAAAACAAGGGAAAAACTGTACAAATATGAGTTTGAAAAGGAGCAGGAAGAAGTATGAACTTGGAAGATGTATAAATTTAACCATAATTTAAACCTGAACTTAAACCTGATCACCTGCATCCAGATGTGAAGGTTGTGCATGCTTGCATGAATTTAAAGGAAATGTGCCATTTTTTACCTCTCACATCGTCTCATCTTATAGTAAATTTCTTTAGTTTCAAATCACTATAGTGGTGTCTTGTGTGGCGTCCACCTGTTTGCATTCAGCATGCTGCTGATTCTATGCATTTAGAGGAAAAAGCCATTCTACTTGCAGGGGAATTAAAGGGAATAAGTCCAGCCCACCCACTTAGCATACTTTATAACTGAAGCAACCTCTACAGATCTACAAATCTCCTTCTCCTCCCCAACCTCCTTTTGAAAGGTTCATTATCATAACTTTGGTTGTTTCTCATATTTTGTGGGACTGCAGAATGCAGATGGTTCATAATTGTACCTTGAAACAACAGTATGTAAACTGGATTTTGTAAAATGAGCACCGTTTCAGTCGGTCTTCCTGTTTTTGTGTTCGTATTGCGTTCATTGAACATTGCAAATCTCAGCCTCCACTGTGGGGTTTCGTGATCTCAGGGTATGTCTGCGTTATGCTTGCTCAGATTGTTCTAGATCATCACCCGAGCAGAGTCACCACCAAACACAAAATGCATGTCATTCCAAAATAAATGGTTAAATCTGACAAAGTGTCCTGTCTGAACTGTTAGTATATGTACCAGGTGCCTCTGTAGGTTTAAGCACAAAAATCACTTGACTTTCATTTAAATTACAATTTTGTCTGTTGGGGAACCTGACCTCAACAAGCAGCAGTCTCTCATGTTTAATTTGCATGTCTCATTGGGGATTCTGTGGCTGCACAATAACCATTATAACAACTGAGTCCCTGCTTTGCTCATGACAGAGAAGTGATAATTACTGCTGCTACAGGGTTTGTCTCTTGAACTTAAATCCCAACGCAACTCCTGTAACTTAGTTGTATTTGGCGTAAGCATGCTTTAATTTACGCATCTTTTATGTTTTTTTTTTTTTTCTTTGTTTTGATGTTTGTCGTAAGAGTACAGTCTCTCTGGAACAAATACAGACGGGTGACAAATTAAAGGAAAAACTTGAACCCTTGACCCCGACAGTGAGAGGACCTAGTGGCTCTGTTATGCTGTGGGGAGCATTTTACTGGCAGTGTTTGGATCCACTTGTCCCCAAAGAGCCAAGGGTCAATACAGTCAGTGACAACCTTTACCCAGGATTACAATGCCTCCATCCATTGGGCACAAGGGGGTCACTGAAACTTGTAGAATCAATGCTAAGGCGCATTGAAACTGTTGCAGCGCTATGTAGTGGCTTTATGTAGGTTTTTTTCTTTAATTTGTCACCAGTCTGTGGATGTGTCAGGAACAAAAAAACCCAAAAAGTCATGCTGAGATGCATTGATCTTGGAAGCAGTTTAGATCTGTGACATTAATAACTTCACTAATGCAGCTGAATAATAAGCAGGGAAACCTTTTATTGTTTCCTGACACCTCTACCTGCTCCTAAGAGAAGCTTGAAGGTGCAACTTCGCCTTTCCCCTGAGTGATGTTATTTACAACACTGACAGTGTGTGTGTGTGAGTACTAAACTGACCTGTCCAAAAAGTTTGTTGAGGTAGGAGATGTAGGCGGCGGCGACCGCTGAGCTGTTGCTGAGGCTCCTTTTACTGCGCCGACCAGCTTCCTCCTCAGAGCTCTTCCTCTGGGCCGCAGGGGACTGTGACTTCGAGCTGTGAAGCGTGCATTTGCATGCCAATTGTTGAGAGCTGTCATCGTCAAAGCAAGCCTATAATTTCCCCTCCTAACTTAGTTTAACAAACACACCTAAGTGCCTTTTTGGCAATATTCTAAGAAAGGTGTTCACACAACCTCCCTTGAAATGATTGTTCAGCTTCAGTCCAATCAGCTGACATCAGTCACCAGAAAAGGGGAGAAAAGGAAAGTTTCTCATGAGGACAAGTTTGAGTTTTCTGAAGGTTTGTTTTTCTACTCGATACATCACTCAGTGGCACTAATTGGGTGCATAACTCTACACAACCCACTCCCCTTGTCCTAATCAATGTTGATTAGAAACAGAGAATGATAATAACCAGAATTTCTTGGTGAGGCTGAGCTGAAGGGCCTTGTTTTTGAATCTCCCTGGTGTGGGTGATCTTCCAGCTGCCGCGCCCCTCCCTCCCCGAGGAGACATGCTAGGAGAGAAAGAAGCTTTAATCAATTTAAAGTGAACTAACTGTCTCAAAAGCAATATAAACACAGTTTTATTCCTTCTAGCCAAAAAAAAAAAATTAATAACACTGAACTTGGTGGACTGTAATAGGGATGCTGTTGATGTTGTTAAAATTGACAGCTGATAGACAGCAGTAGCAACTGGAGACATTTGTATGAATTTTTAAAAGTTTCAGAGACTGTACCACAAGAATCTTGGTAAACTGTGAAATCTTTCCCAAACCGTATCTTATTAGTTTGTTTACCTGTTACTGAATTGCTCACTTGCAGCCCGTGTAGTAGTAATTGCATGGCTCCATAATGTTGCAGCTCTAAAGTTCTGTTTGCCAATTCAAGGTTTAAGGTTCACGGGCATGCTGGCACTTAGCTGAGCTTTTAGTGAAATTGTAAAGTTTGACTTTATAAGTGTATTCACTCCCTATTAATATTCTTCACTGACCTGGCAGCAGACGATGGTCTGCTTTCTGCTCCTCCCTTTGCACTTTTCAGAGACATCCTGGCTGAAAGATAAACATAAATGTCAAAAGGGATGTGAGGGGAAAAGACAGAAATGTTGTAATTGAACAGCAAAGGCTCAGAAAAAAAGAGTCTACTTTTAAAAGGATGAAAATGGATTTTGGACAGAAAAAAAACCCTCAAGTGTTCAAGATTGTTAAAACTTCATGAACTAAATTTGAGAGCAGAAAGGGCTGACAATACATTCTCATCTAACGAAGACTTGAACAAATATGTGAGCAGACATACCAAGCATCATAGCGTTAATTCTTTTTTTTCTACTGATTTAGGTCTTGTATTCAATCTCCTTTTATAGTACCTAAAAAGTATTCACCACATTAGAAGCTGTCCCCTTTAATTGCCTTTAAACATTGAATCATGGTCAATATAATTTGGCTTTTGTGACGAGAATTTCCTGTCAAAGTGTAAACAGATTTTTACAAAGTAATGTCAGTTAATTAAAAATGTATAAAAGCTTCGAGCAGGATGAATACTTTATAAAGCACTGTTGTTCTATATTCTTCCCCACCCACAACTGAAAGAGCTATTTGGCAATTTAGCTGCTAAACGTTCTGCCGTGTTCTCAGGCTTGTTGCTTACTTTGGATTCATTTGGTAGTGGGTAATTCTAATGCAAAACTTTGACACTGAAAATTGTCTGAAAACAAGTTGATGACAGGTGCGTGAGTGAACCAAGCTAATCTACAGACTGTAAAACTAAAACAAGGAACTTAAATGTGCTGAAGTACTCCATAGAGCTGAGGGTAAGTGCAGAGTAGGTAATAATTCTCAATGAGCTTGTTGCCACAAGGGACTCCTTTCACATAACACATTCGATTTATTGTTCCGATAAAGATTAAAGCCCCTTTAACCACTGTATTTTTTCCAAACTTTTACTCAAAATTCTACACAGGACACAGTTTAAAATATGACTAATACATCTTGAGCGGAAGGTCGGAGGAATCCCTACATTCAGGTTCAGAGACAAGTTAATTGACTGGACAGGTGGCTAGTCAGTCACAGGGCTCATACCCAAACCATAAAATAAAAATAATACACGAAGGATAGCGTGGGTGGAAAGGCCAAGACAGCCAATATGAATCCAAAAAAAAAAAAAAAGGGTGTGGAAAGTAAGAATGGTGTAAAAAACGCAGGAGAGGGAGACGGAGGAAAATGGAGACGAGAAGGATTAAGGAAAAAAGAGTGAATGACAATCACATGACTGGTGGAGGAGGAGGAGAGTCTTATGGCTGTCCATCTGAGCGGCAGATTAATGTTCTGTCATGGACTTGTGCCGTTCTGGGTATCAGCATCCGATGATGAACAGCCGTACTTAGGACTGACGTGCTATAAACATAACGCCTCACACCAACAATCTCACGCATCACGAATATGGTGCAAAGACAGATTCCCAAAGATCTGCCCGAGCAGTAGCTACTTAAGGCTGCTCAGACCACAAGGGGCCCGTAATGAGAACAGACACGAAGACCGGCCCGTCCTCTAAATTACGTTCGACCAGTTAATGTGCCTCCGCCAAACACGCTACATTCTCTGGCTCCCACTGGGTGGAACAAAACGTGCCATGACTGAGTAGTGATTGCCTGTCTGACACGCTTTTACGCGATCGATGTGCATGTGATACATGCTGATTGCAACACGCTTAGAGCATGTTAAGATGTGCGGGTCGGGGGGGGGGGATTTTCATTTCCACACATGATACCACACATGATACCATCAATCTATAAAAAGTGTATTTACAGGATCTGTCTATACTTCTGTTTTTATGCTTGTAGTTTATATATGTAAATGTAAACATGCAGCAGAGAATGAATTGTGCTTGCATTGAAAATAAGTTCATAATGTTTACAAAACCTTGCCCACGCTTTTGCAAGTACACACAAACTTCCTTTCATATACACACACACACACACACATCTGTCTTTTCCAGCCCCCCCAAAACATTCATGTTGTGGATAAAGCAAGATATCTAGACTTTCTATAGCGACGGTCTCACACTGTTTGCCTGAAGAATTGCTCTCATCTTCAGTGAGCACAACTCCCATCAGGGTAAACAAACACACGCACAGCCCTCATGCACGGCCTGTACACATGCGCGTTTCACTACACAAGCCATTGAGCAGCACTTTGTGTGTCTATAGCTCTCCTCCCTAAGTGGCCAATTGCTGTCAATCACTGAGCCGACACAAGCAATTTTAGATCCTAATCACGCTAATTGAAGTAATGAAATGGAGGGCCAGGTGGACCAGGGCAAAACCAAACACAGCTGATGATGGAGAACCGGCTGCTACTCGAGAGCAGCGAGGTCGTGGTGTAGGAGCTGTATGGCTCTGCTTGGAGCGTAAGGGGTTAAACATTAAATAGAATTTCTAAATATATTTCATAAGAGCCACTGGAGTGAAGGGTGAGGAGGTTTATTGTATATGTCATACAAACATGACCCACATGCAGTGCGCACACAGACACAAAAAAAACAGGCAAAAACAGAACGCACTCAAATACGTAATTACTCCACCAAGGCTGCACGATCTTTTCAGAGTATTATTCTGATGAGAGAAAATGTTTGTCTAAATGTGGATGTGAAACTGCGTCAAAATTACTTGCAATGACAGACATTATGCTGATAGTCCGATGACAGTGCTGATTTTTGGAGGATACCTAATTCCTGTTGCTAAAATTAAGGCTTTTAACAAGGACAAAAAGCACAACATTTCAAGTGAGTCACGCTCATGACTGCTGTTAAGGCCGTTTATGTTGTTCCTGCAGCATGATGGCCAAGTTTGGCAACAAATGGACTCAAGAGTTTATTTTAATTTCAAATGTAGGTCCTTCAAACTAAACAGCAAAAGATTCTATTTTTCAATGCCTTTAAACTGATTCTGTACATATTGTGTTTTCATATAATCACAACAACAGCTTGTTTGTCTGTTACTTCCATATAAGAGATGGAAGTAGCCACTGGGACACCACACACTGGATCGACTGCTGTTCTGAAGTCTTGAAGGCGCAACTTTGGCCGTCATCTTGTTTTTTTTTTCAGACAAGCAGGGACGGATTTGATTGAGAACTTGAGGACACTCGCACTAATACAGTAGTGACCAATGAATCACAAGTTAGCCATGTCCTAAAACATGCTCTGCTCTGTCATCTGTTTTACTCTAGATGGGAGAATAATTCATCAAAGGAAAATCATGTTGTATTAAAAAAAAGATTTGAAACTACTGATTGGGACCATACCCTTATTAGGAATGTTGGAAGAAGAATTTATAGTAGGCATTTGAATAAAAATAACAAATGCTGTTGCATTTCATGGCAGAATAGTCTTTTAAATTTGGCAAGAAAAATGGTATAATTTGCCCAGAAAAACACTTTGGTTTTTCTGCTCATTTAGATGGTTTATGTCCCAAATCAAATTAAGATTTCATTTGTTGAAGGGGAAGGGAAGAAAATTTGCAAAAACTTGAAATGACAAACAGTCTGTTGAATGTTTCAGGCTTTTTTAGATGTTGTCAACAAGATCAAAATCCATGGGGATAAATGCATGCTATTAGAAATGGCCACATTCTAATAAAAACACAAATAACTGATCATATAACATTGACAGATCCACGATAGACATTTTTTAAAAAAGTATCAAAGTCAATGCAGGAGAACCACAAATACTCTCCAGTCCACAGATTTTACTTTCTGGTCAAAACTGGGTAGTTACATTACTCACAATATAACTTATAGATTGAGGTGTGTTATGCAATTAATGTCTAATTTAGTCTAGCAGAGGTATGAAGTTGGCTCTGGTAAGTTCACCACCTACGAATCTTTCCATTTTCAAACTTGTCTTTCCTTGTCTTTAGACCCAACTTACGCTGACAGAAGTGACATCACCTGGGGACCCATTTTTTGAGTTTCTGGAGCCTTAAAAGACTTTTATATGACATACTTTGAAAAGTTCCCCACTAACCACAGTATGTTTACAGAAATTTGTCACAATCAAACCACTTAAAGAAACAAAAGATTTCGCCAACAGGAAATCTGTTGAGTGTTGAGATTTCATGGAAAAGTGGGAGGAAAAAATGAACCTCCCTGGCAGACAATAAAAACACAAAACCACAGACAGAAAAATGCACATAGCTCTGTCCAGAAAGGTTGTGAGTTCAGGCGAGGCTTCACCCTTCTTTGTAATCTCCCTGTATTTTCTCTTTGTTTTCTTATTATCTTTCTATTCGCCTGCTGTCCAGTCAGAAGACAATCAATCCCAGAGGGACAAACCAGTCTGCGTCTGATCCATAAACAACCGATAGTAATGCAATCAGGTCTGGCACTCCATCTTATCTTCACCTATCTTAACACCTCTCCACCACTTCCTCCACCTCACGTCCCCCCCCCTGCCCCCCTCCAGCACTGATTTCATGTCACGGCTCTGAAATGAAACTGTCGCCTTCGGTGCGGGTGCAGATGGAGAACGAGGGGTGAGAATGAGATATTTTTCTCATTCGCAGACATCTTCCCCTTGTCTCTTCATTTGGGAAAATCTCCTTATGGCTTTGTATAATTTTTGTCCAATTACGACATCTTCCTTGCTGTATTTCTGGAGACTGGCCTGATAATCACACAGTGGAGCTGGTCTGAATAAGTCTGTTGATGCAATTGCATTGTAGCACGCAACAGGGGCACAAATATTGAACCAAAACAAATGCAAGCAGAGGGCTGGCCATCTGTTGGCTTCTACAGCAAAATATACTCAAGATCCAGATAATCAAATGTTTTAAAGCAGAAAGGAAATGTTTGTCAGTCTCATTAGAGTGTGAGTGGGCTGCCTAAAACGTACTCTTTACCAAACTAGCTCACTACAAATGAACCATCGCTGATGCAAGTTGCTTTGAATGATTAAACAAAACAAGTTAACATTATATAGATCATTAGTCCTGCTATACTCACATAAACATAGGCTTACCGTCCTCAGTCATCAAAGGAAGCTGTAAAAAA